GCTCGCGTTTTTATCAGGAAGTAGCAAAATCCAGGTGATGTCGATGCCTCTGATAAAGCGAATTTTATTTTAAGCTCCGAACCTCGTTGGAAAGTTCTGACCCGATTTGTCTCATCAATCACTGGGAAAAAAAGTAACTTGGATCTAGAGTCCAAACTCTTGAAAACAATGACAAGAAAAAATACTCTTGATTCAATCGGATTTTCGCTCGGATCAAAAGGAAATCCGCTCAAATTAAGAGGCTTGGTTCTTGATTTAAGCAAAAATCCGATTGAATCGAGAGTATTTTTTCTCGTCAATGTTTTTAAGAGTCTGGACTCTGGATCCAAGCGGTTTTTTTTCCAGTTATCACCAACACCAGTGGACGCCGTTGTAACCAGTTTCGACCAATCATCTGTTGGTTTTTGATAGGTCGAACCTTTTTAGAACCACCTCGCGAGGTGGTACCAAAATCACGCACCAACGTTGCGATTCGTTAGTCACCGAATCGGAAGTTCGGAACTCAGATAGAATGACAGCTCGGAGGTTCGGGCACAAAAGTAGTACCGAACCTGTAAATAAAATTCGCTTATAGAATATCGAAGAAGATGAGGATCTTCTTTTACTAACCGCTCGATGATGAGTTTGAGCTTTCTTACGTTTCCGTCTTCCTTATCGAAAATATTGTTTCAAGGTTCAGTTACACGATCAAATAAAGCCATCAAACTGCGAAGCTCTGATTGGTGGAAAAAGACCTGAGGTGAGTATACGACCAATGAGAGGCCCAATTTGATGGCTCAATTTGATCGTGTAACTGGACCTTCACGGACGAAGGAACGTAACTCCATTCAAAGGTTGCAATATTTTCTCAAACAATTCGATTCTCTACAAGAATATACTTGTGCATTTTTGTAGACAATTTTCTTAATTTTTGCGCAAGGTCAGAAGAAAAATCAGTGACATTATCTGTTAGAAATGCCCAAAATTCCCTCCGTGAAAAAGAAATTTCCTGGTGAAAATTTTGCAACATTGAAATGGAGTTACGTTCTCTCTCGAAGGAGTGTCATGAGGGCAACTTGGGTCAGTTCCTTTCGATGAATTCGATTAATTTGGAACTAAATTCGTATACATTTCGGCACGCATGAAATAAATTTCTCTACAGCTGAGAGGTGAAATAAAACACCACACTTGGCAAAATTTCGAATGGTAAAATCAGAAATCTCTATAAAATCTGCAGTTTTTATCAGCTTGAAATTTCCGGCCGTTTTTTTCTCAATTTGATCCCGTTAAAAACAAAAAAATTTAACCCCTTAGTTGATTTTTAGCTGTAATCATAAAATTAGAAATATTGTAATTAATAGCCCCGCAAGGGGCTAGTTGTACAATTGTTTAACCAATTAAAAAAAAAAAAAAAAAAAAAAAAAAAAAAAAAAAAAAAAATGATCCCGCGCGTCCGTAAATTGTAAGGAAAATTATACACATAAGTTCTCTCAAAAATCAATATTTTATTGAAAAAATTTTGGCAACATGACCGCTCATACGGCATTTTCTTTCAACACAGTCGTCAAGGAGTCATTTCCGGGCTAAGACAGTCCGAAACTGTCAACGCTGCCGTTTTTAGGCAGAAAGGAACTGAGCCACATCTTCTACTGCTAAATTTATTTGGGCAACTTAATTTTTTACATGAAAACTGTTGTGCGGAATTTTGTGCAAATTTAAGTGAATTTTCTACATAGTGCGAAACGAATTCCCTATAATTTTCAAAAGAATCCGAACCATCATTCTTTCGTAAAACATGTAATTGTCCCGTTAAATTTGGCAACAGCTGATAACTCTTGGTTCCTTTCTGCTGAACGTGGCCCATTTGGTCCTGAGCCGTAGATAACACGTGCGTTCACGCATTTCAAGGTTCAGCCAAAAATGGAGTCTCTGCTCTAATCCGCGGTACGACAGAACAGTAGCTGCGTGCTACCATCATAAATCATCGTTAATTGAGTTCCGTTGGAGGGGCATTTTTCAATAAACTTTCTAGGAGGATCCAATGTTTGGGCGTCCAGGGAACCATAACCTTGACAGCATCATCTCTGGAATGAATCAAATTGGCCACTACGCGGATGCTATTCATAGTGGCGAGCGCAATTTACCCATCAGTCCATGCTTTGAGGAAGTGTTGATCCGAAAATCAGTGAAATTAGCGGATCGCAGAGAGAAAGCACCGGAAGTGTACCATTTGTGGAACAACTGGTCGTTTAATAGTGGCCGAAAATCTATTTTTATTATTTTTTCGGATTTCTCCTCTTCTCTCATATTTTCCACATCATCTTGGAGTACCTCCTACTTTTTCTTCTTCTTCGTCGTCTTCCTTAAAATAAATCATAATTATTCGACGAGGAAGCATAACTTCGTAAAATCTTGAAAAATATGTAGGGACATTTCTATATCGACATTTCTACATCAACAATTCTGTCTTTAAGATTGTCTTCAAATGAATCGACTTTCTAAACGGTCAATTCCACACATCAATATTCCAAAAACGATCAAAATTCATGAAAATACGACCAACGGGCAAAATTGATACAGTCGAAACTAATCTTAAGGGAAAATTAGCCATTCTTAAGCTGATTGAATTAATTGCATTTTGCCCTCTACAAAACTCTACCCTGGATGCATCTAATTGATCTCGCACACGCAGTCTCGCTTAAAATCCAAAACCGATGAGTAAATCAGACAGCTACAAAAAATTAATAGTGAACTATGATTCTGAAGAGAGCAGAGCCGCAGCAAGGTTTTTCCAGGAAATTATCATATTTTAATTGATTTACTTTCAGGCTAATTGGACGCATTTCTGCCAAACGGAACTATGTGCATTCAGAAATGAGCCCTGAGACCCATAAGAGTATATGCATAACAGGGCTCACGTCATAATGCACATAGTTCCGTTTGGCAGAAATATGTCCAATTGAATGTCACGGTCGCGCAAGGTGAGGTCAACCTCATTATTCATTGGATGATCAGTCAAGTATCACTTTTAATTGTGTTTCGCTTTCAGTTACGGTAGATCCGCCAGATCATGTTTCCGGATGAAACAACGTAAATTTGCTCTTTTCCGTGGTGTTAGATAATAACGAGGATAGATCATTTCGAATGGGAAAATTGAGCAACAATCTAATCGGCTCCTTCTGATTTTTGTGTTCCTTTCTGATACTGATCAAGAATTTGACCGGTGAGTGGTATGAGTAAGTTTCAAATTCAAGGTTACGATAAATTTTGGGAAACCTAAGTTCCTCTTACCACATCAACGAAAGCACAACAGATTCTCTGGGCAAAAGATGTTTAATGGATACGAAATATTCAAGAAAGGGATTTCCCTTAAATTTGCAAATTTGCACAGATTAGGATTGAAGAAGCTGGAAGCATCGACTCAGGCTCCATGTTCAAAGTCCTACCGAACAATTTTACATTGAAAATGAGCAATACTGAACAAAAGCTCAGAGAAAATGCTAAGTATTTGCGCATGTGAAAATTGATGTGGCGACCTAAACATTCTAAAAAAAATTTCCGCGGCCTTCCTTGCGTTTTCTTCTATCTATAGGACCCGTTTCGGAGTTACGACTTCGTTTTCAGCCGGCGGCAGCTAAAAATACAACCCTCAGGTTCTTTTATACCGCGAGGAACAACATGCAAAATCTCAGCACCACATCGTGGCGCTTCTCAGATTTTGAATTTATAATCTCCAAATACCAATGGGTGGAATTCGATAGTGGATCGATGTATTGTTTGGTTCAAAACAGTAGAGCATAATCTCAAACAAAAATTTCAGGATTTAAGTTAGAAATGCTGAAAAAGAGAAAAATCCTAGCAATTTCATTTTTTATTGCCATGCAGCACAGCTGAGAATCACAAATCAGTCGCGATAACCCGTTCTCACAGATTAGTCGGTTGACTAAATTGAGGCTATGCTCTCTTGTTGAACTAATCGATATCGACACAATTTCAGCAATAGAACGCCTGTTCGGTGTATCACAGAAAAAAATAGATGGTGCTGACGACAAAACCTTCTGCTCATAGGGCTCCTGCAGTTTCTTTGTTACACTTTCAGAATTTTAGCAGAACTTAACAGAGTACTCTGTTCCCACGACCGAAGTTCTGTTCTCACAGCAGAGAAATTCTGTAAGTGTAACAAAGAAACTGCAGGAGCCCTGTGCAGGCCCGCCACATAATATCTCGGGCCCTGGTACCAGTTTTCTGGCCCGGGCCCCTAGCACAGAGGGGGGTTCGGGGGGCCTCCCCCGGGAAATTTTTGAAATTTTAAATCTATTTGGACGCATTTTGAAGCTCTTATGATGGAGATTTTCCATCAATTTCTGCAGAATAATTACGCATTTTTTTTTTTTTTTACTTTCAGCACCAGATACTTTCGAATTGTTGCATTCAAAACATCTATAAATTTTTTTTTGAGGGGGGCAGATGATGCTTTTCAATTCTAGGGGGAGCCGGGCCCCCCTGTACTCTCCTTTCGTACGTCGATGGCAAGTGAGTTGTGCCATTGAAGTCGAGGATGCCCAGACAGGAGCCTCTTAGCATCCGACAACGGAAGAAACTGAAACGCAGTTACTAAAAATATCATTCTACATATACTCAAAATCTTAAAAATAGATAGAAATCTCTAAAAAAGTAAGACAAATTTTATAGTGCCCAGGCGTGCCTTTGAAACTTTATTCACCTTTTGCGGACTTTTTAGGGCGATTTTTTCACTTTTCCTTACGAGACAAGGGTTACACATGAATTCGTAGTGGTTTGTCACCTGCGTCACGGGCCCCTCCAGGGCCCGGGCCCCGGTACCAAGGACCCAGTAACCCCCCCCCCCCTTGTGGCGGGCCTGGCCTTGTGAACAGAAGGTTTTGTCGTCTGCAACATCTTTTTTTTCTGTGATTGAACACTGAACAGGCGTTCATCAATTAGACCATTTCGATCAATTTGACTGTTTCGACTAATTCGCCCGTTTTTGTGTGGTGTTGCAGGGTTACCGTGGTCCGGACTTCACGCTGGACGTGCACCAGGCGGAGAAGCTGATGCTGCGGATCGCGGCGGACAAGAAGCGACGATGCTGGTGCCGGATCAGCGTCTCCCTCCTGGGCCTTGCCTTCCTCCTCTTCTCGGTCATGAGTTTCAGCATGATGCTCACACGCGGACAGCGCCTCTTCGGGTCCCTCTAGCACCTCACCCCCCCCCCCCCCCCCCCCCCCCACACCTGCCTCCCGCCCTTCTCGGCTGAAACCTGAATACACAGTGTCAAACTCCGGTATGCGGACACGAAGCCTGCAGGAAGGAGCATGGAATAAATAGTATCGAAACCAGAGGCGGCGTGGCGTGAGTTGCGATATATCGATTGTTATGCCATTTAAACCTATGGAAAAGGATCGATAAACAGGGTGTTCGCAGCAAACACCTCAATAATCGATTCTTTACCATAGCTTTAAATGGCATAACAATCGATACATCGCAATTCACGCCACGCCACTGATCGAAACCCCGATGGGCCTGTTGCAAACTTTTGCTGGAGTAAAAATAAGAGTTGTTCCTTTTAGATAATGTCTCAAAAATCGCGATGAGCACATCTGCAAACTCTGAAATCCACTGCAAACGTCACAATCTGCGTAAGAAATTTGCGTTTTTTTAAACCTCCCCCTTCAAAAAGGATACTACGGCACAGACAGGTGAACATTTCGTTAGAGAAGTAGTTCCATTCAATCCCTGATCATTGATCAACATGGCCAACGCTTCCACGCGCAAGTTGAGGAGAGCACGGGGTCAATCAAGGCGGATATCTATCAACGCGAGAAAAATGTGAATATAAACACGCCGAATGTTATCAGGTGGTTAGAATCATCATCCCGTCACAGGTGTTTTGGCGGATTAGCGTCGGCTATGTTGAATATTGCATGGTATCCTCGTGAGCAGGGGTTGGATGGAACGACTCCTCTAGCGAAATGCTTACCTGTGCCGTGGTATCGTTTTTGAAGCGGGAAGCTCGAAAAAACACAAATTTCTTCTGCATGTTGTAAAGTAAAGAGTGCACTTCAGACTTTGCCGATACGCTCATCGTGATTTTTGAGACACTTTCTATGAGTAACAACTCTTATTTTTGCTCTAGCAAAAGTTTGCAACAGGCCTATTTTACTTCCGGCTAAATTTGGCGCCAGATAGAAGAGTAGTTGCACCAGTTAGACGTATGGTTCAGTCTGCCAAAAGTGTGGTTGGATCAACAGTACCTCTGGCTAGTGCAACGATCCTTACATCTGGCGCCAAAATCAGCCAGGAGTATAGTTGAGATTGCGATACTTTTTTTTTCATTGAGGCTACCAGAGAAGTTGGGTCTCCGGACTTTTTTTTCACTCTGTCTGATCCAGAGATGAAAATTTATAGACTGGAGAATTTCCACGCAGAGTTTTTATTGCCTCATCTGAAAGTGCTAAAAGAGCTGATTTCGCAGGATTTTTCATAATTTTTTTTCTGATACTTGGAAAAAAAGTACCACAGTCCCAACTATACCCCTAGTTGAAATTGATGTCAGTTACTAGAGTAGTTGCCCTAGCTAGAGGAATGGTTAAGTCAGCCGAAAGTGTGTTTGGATCAATCCTCTGGCTGGTGCAACTACTCTCATGACTGAGGCCAAAATCAGTTAAAAGTACAGTTGGTTGTCCTGAACTGTGGTCCGCGGACCCACAGGGTCCAGTGCGGCGACTTTTCAAGTTTGCAACTTTGTTTTTTCTCCATTTAAATGCATTGAAAAAATCGTTTCTTGGTGAGGCCAGCTGCCTATCAAGAATCAATTATTTCACATACATTTAAATGTGGGATAAACAGTATCGCCAACTTTCAAAAATTGCCACTGACAGAGTCTGCGGGGCAGAGATTAGATTGGTGGAGAAATTGCGGGGAAAAAAATCAGAGTTAGGAGATACGGGGGAAAACACACTTGAAGGTTCAGTGCTCAAGACACTTGGGTCGAAATGTATGCGATTCTAAGAATAGCAAGTTTGCAGTAAATAATTAATGAAAAATTTTAAATCGTTGGGGTGAGACTAAAAACACAGTCATGATAGTCTCATTGATATGTGTTTAAATACTGTCAAGTCTCAATACTTTTTAGGAATCGTAATGCGCCTATAATGTGCATACAAAGACACACACTTTGTGAAGTATATTTTCTATGAATTTCCTCAGGGTTCCAAATTTCAGAGTATAAAGATATCAATATGACCAAAATTCCCTCTAATTTCCCGTAAACAGCTCGCTTTAACCATCTTGCTAGAATAAATTTAAGAATTGAATCGAACTTAGAGGTGCTCCCATGACAATGATCTTCAATCTCTGCTTGAGTAGATTTTGATTTTCGACCATCGGGCAATTTGTACGGATTATAATTACTTTCACATTTTCTTGTTTTCCAATTACCTAGAGCTTTTGCGACACATTGAGCTGAAAATCAAAATGGCCATAACTAATAATGAATTTTTGACGATATCGCACACCTTTCTTGTAACTACTACCATTTGCACTTTTAATGCGCAGTATGATTTCAGTGACCTCCAATTATTACATGTAAAAAAAGAAGAAAAAAGCAAAAAAAAATTAATGTTTATTATTCACATGGGTTGACGAACATCTGGAATATTTTCGATTTGGAATATCCCACTGTACTTCCGAAACACAGGACCTGTTTTAGGTGGTGGATAGACGTATATTCTACGACCCATAATATTTTTCCGACAAAAGCCTGTGGAATCTCTCATTTTCTTTCAAAAGCAAGAATTTTGGTTCTAATCGAATCAGTATTACAGTGATACGGCATCATCACTTTTTATAGGTGATATTATTTCACAGTATGTGATGTGATATTTATGTTTCCAATAATACAAGTATTTGTAGGTATAGGCGAGAGTTCAGTTTTAAGAATCGAGGGAGGCCAACTTTACGGATGAATCTGGAGGGGGCGTCAATTTAATGAGTCAACGATGTTTCAATTCTTTATTATTTCCTCTCGAACATTCTATTTAGGAATTTTACTCTTTTGAGTATTCATAATTTTCAATTCTTTGAAGTCAAAACTCATGAAAATTCTTATTACAAGGTCTCCTCTATAAAAAGGGACTTACACAAAATTTAATTGAGCTTAAAATTTTGGAAAATCTGAAAGTTGAATGTGACTCTTCAATACGTAGAAAGGCTGAAGCCGCAAAATGCGTTTCTGTGAGTGCAGTTTTGTTAGTCTTTGCTCATGTTTTCCTTTCTAAATAAAAACCAATCAATAATTTTTCTTGAGGTTTTCTGTGAACCTTACCTCACCAAAAAAATATATTCACTGAAAAATGCCAAGCATAGGAAAACAAAAAACTAATTTGCCAACAGAAAACATAAATATATATTGTTTTTAAAATCGAGAATGATTCTGATTAGTTCAAGCTAATTCATTTTTCAATCTTATCATTCCCTTCTTATTCCTTGAAAAAATCAGCCGTAAAGAAGTGTAACTCTGCGCGGAAAATTTAAGAAATATCGTGCTTCAGGAAAGCACATTTTTTTCTTTTTCTTTTTTTTGCGTGGAGATTTAAGATATTTTCGTCTGCTTTTTATTGAGGAAATTTAACGTGAGCAAAGATCATGAAACATTACAACAGTTACGTATTTTTTCTCCAGCCATTGTACGAGAGAGGATGCATAATACCGTTGATAGAAAACGGTCGGTGATAGAGGGACACTTGCAAACGTGTGATTCAAGGAACGCCTTCAATCGAGCGAACGGCAACATCGTGAACAAAATATTTTCAAATGATCGAATGCGCATGAGACTACATAATTATTCACTGTATATTCCCTCATTTTTTGGGCTAAATATCAGCATGCTCAACCACTCTTGTTAAATTGTCGAATTTTCATTGAAAATCGTCTCTCCCAAAATATAGTGTCTCTCTTTTTTTCATGGGAACTGTGCAATATCTTATTTTAGGTTCTACCTTTCACTCTTTTTTCCTCATTTTGTTTGTGGAACTACAAGAAAATTCTTTATAGGGGTGGTACATATGATGCCTGCCAACTATGTATTATTAATTTTGAATCATATAAAACGGGGGACATACTTCAGTCAGTATAATAAAAAAATTACGATACGTTTTCTACCCGTAGTCATCTCATCCTAATTTTAATATCCAAATGCGCAACAAATTATAGTTGATTTTTTTTTTTTTTTTTGGGTAGTAAAAAAAGGCTCTGCGTGTAGAAGCTTTTTTGATTCCAAGATATATTCTTTAATTGAAAAACATTTTAAGGGTTTTTTCCTCCAAAATTTAATAATCAAGATGAAACATTCCCAGTAAATTTCAATGAGCTTAAGCTAGAATCAGGAGGCCTCATTATTATAGGAAATTTTTTGATGACACGAAAAAAGCCATTCTAACGCTTTTACGTTACCGATTTTTTGAATCAATTAATCTAGACTTCGTCCGTCTCCATAATCCTTTTGATTATTATTGAATGATATTTTAATACGAAAACCAATGATCAACTGGAATTTTGTTTTTAAAAACCTTGCAAAGATCAACTGCCTTCGTCTTACCCGTGAGACTTTTTATATGGAAAAAATGTATACAACTTAGATCTTACGTTTATAGTTTAGGCAGCCTTGGCACTTAGATTGGGAACCCCCGTAATTATTATCGACCATTGGAGCGTGGTGAGTATTGATTTAGTATTAAAGCGACGAATAAACGACATGTACATATTTATCATACGACGCCGGCAAAAATTGTAAATAAAAACTTACCTTTATTGATTTTTTTTAGCATACTAAGACCGGTCTTATAACTTATCACCCCGTAAATCGTTGATTTTAAAAGCTACCAAAGGATGGATTTGAAACTGCCTTGAGATATTACCTACAACGCCAAGTCAAAGTTTAAGTTAGGATTAAATTAAATTTCGTTAAGTTATTCGGTTTGTTGAAACTGCACGTTTCGCAACCGACTCGAAGTAAGTTTATCAAGAGAAGTGTTCATGGTTTGCAATATTAGCTTTATAGTTATGTTAGGTTTTTTACCTGTGTACGCGTTCTATTATTTGTCAATTTTTTAGTCTTATGTTAATGTGTCATATTCACTATACTGACTGTTCTAATAATGCAGGATTACTTTCTGTTTGTATTATATTGTAATAATGAAAATAAATTATATTCGTGTGTAATTTTCAAATGCAATTAAGTTTACTTCTTGCAATCATTTCCTATTGACTATTAAAACCTGAAATATTTTCCGAAAAGATGGATGCATGGAAAATACACAAGCCACCCAACAACATGCAGGCACTGCGTATGCAATATGTATTAATTGCAATTCATTTTTTTAATTAGAATTCAAAAAGATAAAGATACACGATAACACGTGCAAACTAGAAACGTGATCGAAAAGAATAAACCAAATTGAAAATCAATATTCTGTATTTTTCACAGTGGTTGATGGTTTCTCTGTGATTTTATAGATCAATTTATCCCAGATAACTTTATCCATCTTTGCGTCTTTGTGATTCGTTGGAAACGACCCTTCTTTCACGACTTGCTGCCTCAGACACAGGCCGATCAAAAAGGGATCACACATTTCCCTCGCTTTTCTAATAAATTGTTGGATGTAATCTGTAACACCATCTGGAAATCTAGACCCGCTTCTTGTAAACGCTAGGCCTGGTAGAATCAACAAATCAATCGTTCTGCCTGAAAAATTAAAATATAAATACATGTATTGAACTCAAGTTCTTAGAAAAAGAGTAAACAAAAGTCTTGTTGTTGGGAGGAACCTTTCCGCCTCGAGAAATAAAAATTTTGAGAGATGGTTCGCTTGGCTAATTATTTGGATTGAATGTATACTGAATCAACCGTGGCTGCGACAAAATGTCTCCATTTTAATTAAAGTTCATTTATTATTGAGGGATAGTACCACCGTGACACAGATTCTTGTATAAAGGCACTGTTATTGGAAAGATATTAAATTTTTAGGCGTCAGCGAGAATTGCGCAGAAGCCTTAAGGATTTTTGATGGTGAAATAGAAAAGTTATTGAGGAGCAAACCTATGTCGCAAATTGAGATACTTGTTTCGCGACTTTCGCCACCACCAATAAGCCACCAGGTTTTTTGGTATTAAAAATAAAAAAATAAAAAAAAAAAAAAAATTACACTGATTTTTTTTAAAATATCTACACTGGGGAAAAACACATTGGATCTGGAGTCAAGACTCTTGTAAACATTGACAAGAAAAAATACTCTTGATTCAATCTGATTTTTGCTTGAATCAAAAGGAAATCCGCTTAAATTAATAGGCTTGGTTCTTGATTTAAGCTAGATTCTGATTGAATCAAGTGTACTTTTTCTTGTCGATGTTTTTAAGAGTCTGGACTCTAGATCCAATGTATTTTTTTCCAGTGTAATATAGACATGAAATTAACGCTTAATTATGAGTTTCAAATTTGAAAATGATATTTACGTGCATCTTTCTCATAAATCTGCCTCTGTCTAATGGAGAATCTGAATAATTACCGTCCGTTAATGATTTGTTGACCCGTTTTTTGTCAGTCCACGTTGGTTGTTGGATGCTTAGCTGATTGATAGGTACCTCTTCGTATACGTCCCTCATGCTGAACACAGGAACGAAATCTATTGTTTTGTAAACAACCCTGAAATCACAAAAAAAGAAAAGAAAAAAAAAAATCAATAGCTTTATTACTGTGTTGTGTGCAACCTATACTCTACCAGTGATTGACTTCAAGGAGTGTTAAAATAGTTCTTCTCTGTATTAAAAGTGTCATGAAATTATCAGTGGCGTGGCGTACTTTGCGATATATCGACTGATCTGCCATTTAAACAGAAAGGACCATTAATAGGGTGCTCGCAACGAGCACCTTAATAATCGATTCTTTACCATAGTTTCAAATGGGGAAATATCGATAATCGATCATTCGCGCCTCGCCACTGGAAATTTCACCATAGAGAACTTGACTTTTCTTGCGTTCCATGACTTTCACCCCTTACCTTTCATGCGTTGCTCCGCTTGAAGGCCATAGAAAATTAGCTGATGCTCAATTGAGAGTTTTAAACGCTTACTTTATTAAAAACAAAAACAACCAACCCAGTGATTAGGTTACAAAATTCGTAAGTAGAATTACGTGTCATGTAACAAATTACAAAGCAATACATTTCAAAAGGACAAAACTTATGACTGCATCCAGCACTTTTGCAGGTAAAGTAAACTGAAAAAGGCATGATAGAAAGTGTAGAGATGAGGTAAGTAAGTACACATACCAAATGAAGAATTATGGATCCATTTGATGTCTCCATGTGTACATATACGCGCTCTCACACAGAACCGCTATCACAGTCACAAGTATCAACCACATCGAAGAACTTTCTGAGATCTGTTACCAGTCTTTAAAATTTTACAGCATGAATTTCAACCGAAGTTATATGAAGCAAATTTTATCATTTGGGCTTGGCGTGCGACAATTGGAGGATGAGATAGGTGACACTCACTTCTTAACTTGTCTCCCCACCCACCACCAATCATTTACATCGTGATTGATTGTTAAAAATGAGCTCGAAACACCACATTATTTCATAAGTGTTGGCTGTTATGATAAAACGCATTTATTATGCATTTCTTTCGATGTGGATTGCATTTTGCAAAAGGAACCAAGTGCATTCCAATGTCGATAGGATTGTGCAACTTACATTAGGTACATTATTTGCAATACAATTGCTGCAATCTTGCAAAAAATTAATTTCACCAAGGTAATTTTCCTCTGGAATTTATAGTTTATTGAGAGTAAATATATAACTTGTTTAGATGATCAGTTTAGTTTATATTTGCAAGAGGTAAAAAAGTTGCACAATCTTAGCGACATTGAAATGCTCTTGGTTCCTTTATACAAAATGCAATCCATGGATCCTTCTTTGTAGCTTATTTAGCGGCAACCCGTCAACCATATGGATTGCATTTTGCACAAAGGAACCAGAAGCATTGCCATGTTGCTAAGATTGTGCAACTTCACCCATTGTGGTAATTTTTGCCTTAAGTTTACAGTTTTTAGCGAGTGAAGTAGAAACTGTTTAGAGATAATCAGGAATTCCTTCCAAGACAAAAGGAGCTGCACAATCTTAGCAATATTGTAATGTTCCTGGTTCCTTTTTGTAAAATGCAATCCACATCCTCAGTGCAGTGGCGGTTTCGCAAGTTGGCAACACTTTTTTCCCGCGATCAAAGCCATTGAAAATATTGTTTTAGGTGAAGCAAACTGCCTCGCCTATAATCGATTGTTTCACTTACATTTTAATGGAAGAAAGACGGTGTTGCCAACTTGTAAGAATCGCTACTGCATCAGCGTTCCTACGCATCGATAGTAGAAGGAAACCAGGGCACATTTTGGACACCAAAAAACAAGTTAGAAAAATTTATGAGCTCAATTAGACGCAAATTTTCTCCTGGTTGTCAAAAATTCAAAGTTGAGAATAACCCATTCGAATGTAAAAATACGCGTAAAAACTCAAACGATTGCAGAGGCGGATCCAGCAATTTGGCAACACCGGATTTCCTCCATTTAAACCCACGTTAAATAATCGATTCTTGTCGGGGCACCTAACCCCACCAAGAATCGGTACATTTCCCTAGGTTTAAATGGAGAAAAGACGATGTTGCCAAGTTGCTGGATCCGCCAATGAACGTTTGTTTAATATTATGGAGACATTAAAGCTGCAAACATGTTTTTCGCGGTCCAATTTTAATGTGACCTGGCTCCTCCGTTTCACACTCGGATCATATTATCATGAATGAATTGTTCGCATCTCACCTGGGCACATAACAAGTTTTATTGGCGTCAAAAGCGTCGGATAGAATATCGTACGTCCCAATCTCAGTATCTTTACTTAGATAAATTCCTATACTTTTGGCAATTTTGAACTCTTTCAAAGCGGTCACCTGGAATTAAAATTTCGGTTGAAAATTGAGAACTTTAGGCGCAGCTGAGGGAGTCATTATACGACACTGAATGATACTGGTTTCAATTCAGATGAAGTTTCCGCAAGTTGTAAATAAAGTAGGCTGTCATCATGACGTCTCATTTCAATTCGTTGCTCCTCTGACGTAGAACGTATCTCGATTTTCGAATGAGCCCCAGAAAGCCTGCGTTTATATGTAAAACAGGGCTCACGTGGGAATCGAGGTACGCCCTTACGTCAGAGAGACGACGAATTATGCCATTCAATCAGTGGCGAGGCGTGAATGGTCGATAATCGAATTTTACCCATTTGAAGCTATGGTAAAGAATCGATTATTGAAGTATTCGTTGCGAACACCCTGTTCATCGACCCTTTTCCATAGTTTTAAATTACAGAGCAATCAATATATCGCAAAGCAGGCTACGCCACTGCATTGAATACGGAATTGCGGCAGTATATTTCACACGCATCATTCCTCACTTTAATATATAATGACAATATATAGACGGTGAATTTTCAGGATTGCATATCCCGCTGGTGGTATTTTAAAACCTCCTCTGTCATTTTATTTTATTAAAAGAGAACAAATCAATGTTATTTCTTGAAATGTTTACTAAATATTCTTCACGAAGAGAGAAGAAATCAGGGATATTTTTAAAAAATGACACTGAGGGTTTTTCCGTGTAAAAACATAAAATGACAAGAAGTCTGCAACGTTACGAGCTGAAACACGCGTGTTTGTGCTGTCTCAGAATCGGTAATTGAACTTTACCATACGTAATGAGGGGGCAACCGCACCCAAAAATTAGGTGGGGTGATGGGGTCTATTTATAATTAGACCCTGACTCCTCCGTTAGGGCCTAGGGGCCAGTATGGTTCCCCAGTCATAGATGGACTATGGTAAAAATCCTATTTAGAATATTAATTTCTTATTAAGAACTTCAAATGATTCAACGCAGATTTTTCAAGCCCTCACTATATCTATGCAATTGAAATTCGAAGACATAATTTACGAATGAAGAAACAATTCTGCTAGGTGCATGTTCGGAGGCAAAATTCCATCGGCAATCCCTTAAATCCAAAAATAAATTGATACACGAGGCACAGGACCAGGACCAAATAGGAGACAGGGCAAATTATGCAGTTAAATTGATCGCCCATTCTCATCCAGAGCATCACACAATAAGAAAAATGAGTCAAAATAACCTGTAAAACCAAAGACGGTCGGAGTGATTTTGGATGCTCCTCTCACTACGAATATCTGAGTATAGTCGGCCCAAACGTTTTATTTTGTCTTCATTGTAAGCCTTCATCTCCGTGTGTTTTTTTTTTTTTTTTTTTTTTTTTTTTTTTTTATTATTTTTTTATTTATTGACTAGTGTTCTGTGTGTGATTTGTAAAATTAACCTGAGCCCAAATATGTAGGTGAGCAGTCAGGGCGTAGGTAAGTAAAAAGGTGGTAAAATATTGCAGTGTCCCCGGAATTTAGCCGAGAAATCAAGGCCAGAAAGTTAAAATTTCAAGTAGAGTAAAACATTTTGAGCTCCAATTTTTGAATTTTCAAGAATTTTTTGACACTTAATATTGAATAATCACAAATATTAGAAATTTGTGAACTTAATGACCTTCCTTTCCCCGCCAAATAATGTGGTCCCAGCACTATTTTACCAAATTGTTACTTATGAGCTCGGGCCAATTTTTTTCAGTGTTTTTTTTCTTGTTGGTATTATAATAAGTTGAGTAGACCATCAAGTGAGTACCTGTTTTCTGACCGCTTCTGACTGCAATTTTCTTTCCCGCGGAGATATTTTTGAAATTATCCACCTCATTTCAGCTCTAAACACGTCTGGATCCGTAGTTTTCGGGTATGGTATTTTTTCTCCAGGCTGCCAGCGTACTGGTTTTGCCGTCGTTGTCCAGCCATAGTATGAGCCCTCAGGGTTGTAATGTTCAACTGTTACCTGACAGTATCCAGGCCTGATAAATTTGGCCAAAATTGAGAAAAATAAATAAATAATTTCGTCCATTTAAGTCACTGATTAACTGGTAACAACAAAACAACACCACATGATCACACTACCTATAGTCTACATTTAATGTCATTTGAGTGAAATTGGAAAATATTGAAAAATTAGGGTTAATTGATAAAAAAAAGGCTAGACTCCTCGTCTATGAAGAAACTCCACACGTGTCGATGAACTTAATTGGTGGGTATTAGCTTATCCATACTCATCTGGTAGAAATCAATAGACTTGATTAAGTGAGGACTGTCTGATGCGACACGTTTGTCTTCCTTTGTTGTCACGTCTCATAAAAATTTTAACAAATCTTTCCCGATAGTATAAACACTTCATACTATCGTGCGGTGAATACTCCCAAAATAAGAAATCGGGAAAACTGTAGGTGGTCTAAAGATAAGTCTGCCCGAAGGTGTCAACGCTTTTAAAAGGTGAAATGAACACTCCCGGGAGGATGGGTCTACAACACTCCTACAAGAGGAGATCAACATCCCTNGGGGGGGGGGGGGGGACGGAACCATTCCCAGGAGGGACATGGCTAATCACTCACTGTAGCAGTGACCAATTCTTATGCCATAAGGATCGTATTCATAGTTGTTCCTCTAACGTTAAAAATACCTTTTTAACCAATTTAATTATTTCGGCTTAAAGAGACATTAACGTTTCAAGAACTTAGCTTAGTGTAGAAATTTAAAGAAATAATAGAAACGGGTAACATGAATGTAAATTAAATTTTCTCAATTTTTATACAAATTTCCAAACTTAAGTTTAATACAAACATGTCAAAATGATACAGAATTGCAAATTGCGTGTACTTACATCTTACAAACATTAAATCAGATCCTATTTCAGGAATCGTAGCATCCTACGGGATAAAGGAGGACAATGAAGAGGTCTATCCTGTATCTTGGCGTTTTTCTGCATGGCCTTCGCTCACTATAAATAATCATTGATCAATACCATATTACAAAAAAAATGGTTTTCGGACAAGTATCAACATTTTTTTTTATAAGGATCTTTTTTCATGTCAGCCATGTTCTTAGAATTACTCGCGCTGTTTGTCCGATCGTAGAAACTGAGTCTTGTATCATGTCCATTGTTCCTCTACCGCTCTAATTAAAAGATCTCACTTGCAGCTCATTTACCGCAAAGTATAAGAAATTTTGCAAAGAAAATTGTGTTTATCAGAAAACTTCATTCTAATTGGAACCATTGACTAATATTGTGTTTGTTTTATTTTTGTACCCTTAACCTTGAGCTGTAAGATCCTCCTTTGGGTTGTTCTCAGAAGCTTGTGTTGGAAGCTTTTCATACAAAAAAATAAGTGTAATATTTGAAGTTGAAGCTGTTTTTAATCGGGATGCATTGTAACTGATAATTTTACCATGCAATGTTCGTTTTACGGATGTCACACATCCAAGTTTTAGTGTTATGACCTGATGATGATCGTAAAGAGATCGAAATAGGTATCGTCTAAGTCTTAAACATTAACGTGATCGGGAAAAACCAAGGTAAAATTATCAGTTGTGATAAGTGTGTTTTTATCCCTCCACCTTTGCGGCTATCATCTAATGCATTCAAGAATGAGGAGCGAATCGTCCCTCAGAATTATTATGAAAAGGATCATATAACACAATATGATACATTTACCACTGTGCTGAGAATGTTAGAATGAGAATGTTTTTGATATGTATGATTTTTGTTCCTAAATATTCAAAACCACATTTAATTTTGTATTTATTTCTAATTTTACATTTTACAGTATTCAGTGTATCATTTTCATATGAACGTTAGGATTTCACTTCTTTATATTCTATACCCATCAATGGCTAAAATAGGAACACGATAAGGTAACATGATGAGGCAGATCCCTCGTTATAATTTTTTTCTAATCAGAAATTTCTTCAAAACTTCCAGTTTGTTTTTTTGAGGAATACTCTACATAAATATCAAGCAAAAAGGTTGTATTGTTACCCTTTGAAGTTTATAACAAGAGGGAAGAGCTGAACAGGCCACGTGCTTTTCACGTTTACCCATGGACACTGGACAGGTATATCTCGTTCTCAAATGACCAGTCATGTTTCTGCTTATAACTACATCTCTTCTAAGTTATTTTTTGCTCTTTCTTTTTTTCTGTGTCCTTTTTTTTCGAGATTCAAATCTTATTGAGAATGAACAATATCGTAAAAAAAACTGAAAAATGGATCATACATGAATTGTGGATCATCCTGGATCATCACCTTTGCTTCACATAATTTTTTTGAAAATTGTGAATGCTAAATTCACATAAATAAGTTAAAATTTTATTCAGCTTCCTCTCCTCCGTGAAAACTAGGTTTATCGTTCAACCCTCCTACTGGGTAATTCCTTCATTTGGACGTATTTATGCGAAAAGGCGCTAAACGCCATTTCCAAACTTCTCAGTAAAGCAAGTTTGACTAAAACAATTGGCGTTTCCGTACTAATGGACCGATTTTGGTTTACTTTAGCTTGTTTGAAATCTGTAGAGTTCCTCTAATTACGTACGTTGCCAAAATTAGGAAAAAATGCATATTAAGCGAGATATAGGGGATTTTTGCACGTAGGTCCATTTGATTTAATGCGCTAACCCGGATTCCGAATTAAATCAAAAGGCGCTATCTCCACTTGAATCACTTGATTGACGCGCGCGCGGCGAAGCTTGGTGNTAAGTTATTTTTTGCTCTTTCTTTTTTTCTGTGTCCTTTTTTTTCGAGATTCAAATCTTATTGAGAATGAACAATATCGTAAAAAAAACTGAAAAATGGATCATACATGAATTGTTGATCATCCTGGATCATCACCTTTGCTTCACATCATTTTTTTGAAAACTGTGAATGCTAAATTCACATAAATAAGTTAAAATTTTNGTGTGAGAGCAGCCTATTACATGGAGAATCCAGATCCGTTAAAAACTGAAATTTGGAAATTTGGCGCTTAGTTCCCTTTCGTATAAATACGTCCATTTGAGATTTAAGAAATATTATTGTAAATTAGAGGGTCCTTGACCGCTACGCATCCCAAACCCATGAAGTCGAGTGTATACTCCACGCCATTTTACTATAAAAAATCTTCAATTGGACACATTTGTAAAAAAAAGTCAATTTGTTTTGAAATATTACCATGTTAGATTTTAGGGTTGAACTTTAAAAACCAGTTCAGAGGAAATTTTCTGCCTTAGAGATATTTACAATGTGCCTGATGAAAAATCATGTCTTATATAGCCTGAGGTAGATGAAAAAATTTTCTCGAAGTTTTGACGTGAGTAGACTATTTTTGCACAATACTGCAACATGTGAAAATCCCATCGCGTTGAAGACTTCTATCATCAAGAATACCTAAATAACTCGAGTTAGTATCATCATATCAGTATTATGTTTAATATGCCTTGGAATGCTCACTGCCGCCCTAGGTATTTCAGGCATAGACTGTTGACTCTGACCTCCCTTTATATTTTCAATAGCCTAAAGTTCGCAAAAGGTGTAAGCGGCAAGGCACGGTTTCCACGCCACAAGATAAATACAAAATAATTAATTATAAAATCTCAAATAATTGGAAACCTTTGGCAGTTTTCATTCAGAAGTTGTGATAACTGTGCTTAAGATCACAAATCTCTCATTCTGCCAACAGTCAGCTACTTAATGCTAGGAAAAATATTTTTCTCGATTTTAAAGCACAAATTAAAATGCTTCATGCACCTATTCGCTTTATTCAAGTTGTAGCTATCAGAACATGGCGCTTCCTCTGTACTTAGAATGCACCACTGTATCAAGTTTGATGTCATGCTCGTCATGGGGAATCTCTCTCAGGATCTGGACCTCGAATGCCAAGCCAATGAGAGTTGGGTTGAACCTCGGTCGAATGCTCTCAAGATACTTTTCGTACATACCTCTACCACGTCCCAACCTTTTCCCATTTAAGGTAAAAGCCAAACCTGGCATAATTAGAACGTCTACACCACCTACGAAAGAAGAAAACAAATCCTTTTTCAATTTGAAGGGTAACTAAATTAGGAAAGATTTCACTCAACATGAAAATGATGCGCTCTTAGTGCCATGCATAAAGGGAGCGTGTGACTTTGGAGTTTTTTCATTTTCCCTTTTCAACCTGAGAAAATTATTTTCTCGTTTTCGAGAAGTAAAAAAAAGTGTGAAACTCTAGTAAGTAATCGACTCCGAAGAGGATTTTGGGGGAAAGTAAACAATTTTACACGTATGATAGCGCAACCCTGCACCAATTGATTACCAAATTGCAAAACCATGTATCTCCGTTTTTAACGTTGTATATAGTTTTCCTGTCATTCTTTATTCTTTTGAGGAAAGGAAGTCAATGGGATTTCTTGAAAACTAATTCGTCCTCTCTGCCGGCAGAATATTCTGCAAAAACGTCCTCCTATTTAGTTTACTCATTTCTCTTCAAAAAAATAAGATTATGCCTTTTTAGTGTTTTGATATATTTAGTCTTGTTTATCAATGTTTCACCTTTTTTTCTATTGTATTCTATTGATCTTCATTTTTTAACGTGTTAATGGTATTTGTATTGCTGATAAGCACCTGTAAATAAAAGTATTTACCAAACAACCAAGCAAATATAAATTGGTTTAAAGCTGTAAGTCCTCTTTTGCCATATTTTAATCTCTTAAACAGAACTACAATATTTATGATTGCTTACTATTAGTAATTCGTGTATTTACCATCAGAGAGAGCATTTTCTCGAAATTCATGAGGATCAGGCTCTTTGAAACCTAGCTCATTCACTTTCAACTCCGCATACTCTTCCATAGAGCGCAGAATGACCATGTCCATACCAGTTCCGTTCCGCCTGAGAAAAAAAAAAAAAAAAGTTGCATTAGCAGAAAACCTATTTTCGAAGAAGATGCATTTTTGTACTTGTGCCAAATTATCGTGAGCTTGAGCCTTCATGGTAAAATATACCGGTGGTAAGGTGCATGGATATGGAGAAAACGCACTTTTGGATGCTCATGTAAAATAATTATTGGATCGAAGCATGCACAATATCATTATAACCTATCACATAGAATTTTGAACAAGGCACTCAAAAGGCAGTCAATGAAGCTACGGCTTTTTGAGACTCTTGAAATTTGAAATTATGAAGCTGACAAAGCAAATAATGATTTAATAAGAGATTTGCCTATTAAATATAAATTTATGTAGAGCAATAACATTTCATCAAGGGTTTTCGTCATCAGATTTTCTTTTTTTTCTGCACGCCAGTCATTAATGAGTGTGTGTATGTGGTGTAGGAGCACTTTATTCAAAAATGTTGCGAACAATTTCTTTGGCTGGCTCTCCAGCGGTTTAAAAAAAAAAATGCATAGTAGGACGTTGCGTTTTAGATGAATAATTGATAAAGCAGAGACAGGAAAAATAATCCGTAAGGTGGGGGAGGGAGGGGTTGTAAGGGTGAGAAATCAAACAGTTTAGAAAAAATATTTTTGAAGCATGTTCCACAAAAAAATTCCAAAATTCGACCCCACTCTGACAGCGATTTCAAGTTTGAAGGAAAACCACAGGGAATTCGAGAAAATGCATGTGGAAGAAATAAGCCGGCACTGTCTCCTGTCTTAAGAATAATGCATTGCAAACGCACATAGCATAATTAAAAATGCTTAACATGACTGCTTTGAACTTTATCCTAATGTCCTTGAGAGAATTAAAAAGATTCTACCATCAGAAACTGCAATTCGACATTTTTTACCCCGAATCCATTCTTTCGCTGCGTTGAACAATTTGAGTTTCCACCTTGACGGACATTTTACCTGAGTTCCCGGCTCTTGCATTGATCCGATTTGTTTCTCTCCATTTTCTGATAACTTTTTACGATGCAGGCCGTCTAATAAAACGTATGATGATATTTTCTTCTGAGATAATTAGACAAAAGTTTTGAGCTTTTCATATATTGTGGGGAGTTTAAATTTTTCAAAAAAAAGGAATAATTGTCTTTTCGGTTTAAGTGTTTGAGAGTAGAAAGATCTTGAGTATACCTCGGTATATAGCATCGTTTTCCACTACTGAGGATGTTCGCTATTAATTTCTCTGTGTGGGGCTCTAGTTCTGTATTTAAGTACACGCCGATGCTTCTACGCATCCTAATTAAATTAGGTAGATTGATTAACTGTAAAAAGAGGCATAAAGAACCGCATACCATTAGAAAAATACTCAATAAAAATTCTAATTTACATATACTTCAATACTCAGTGTTTCAAAATCGGATTTTATAACTCCACGTGCAATCCTGCATCACCCCCTAACTCAAAAAACGCACCCGTATCACAAAGTAGCGTGACGTGACGAAAAATAAAAAGGGTGCTGCCGTCTGAGTCAGGGTTTTTTGGAATTTCCGCCAGTATAAGTTTTATATTCTTATTATCTTTTCAGAGGCTCACTGCTGGCAACACAAGTAACGAATTCAGGACATAAAGAATGACTAATTTGAGTAATATTAGAAAAAACCGTCACAGCTTAAAAATTATCCGGAATTAACGTGTAAAATTCCAAAAAACGCTAACCTCAAAATTGCGAATGCAAATTTGACGTAAAAGCATTTTATCTATATCTACAAGCTATGGGTCCTGCCTCACCGAGTTTTGAGTTGACCTCATGTTGATATATATTTCTGACTTCTTTTTTACTCTTCCGCCAAAACAAACATGTTATGATTCACGCTAGATTTCATTTTATTTTTTAAGTGTTCTTAGGTCAGAAAGTGCAGGGCTGCAGCCCATACTTTAGGAGGACAACGTTGTAATAATTTAAATAATCGAAAACATTTCGACGGTGAAACTACCAAACCACGTATCTCGGTTTGCGACGTCGCAGACTTCCTGCCATACTTTATTTTTTAAATAGAAGACTACTCAACGTCAATTCGTGAGAACTTCCGTGATTTTTCCTCTTTGTGCGGAGAAAATTCTGTGAAAATTGTAAGGAATGATATTGATTTGATCTCCTTCAAAAAAATAAAATGTGAATGGAGATTTTTAAACACCGCAAACGAGATACGTGGTCTGGTAGTTTCACCGTCGATTTGCAGAAAATTAACAATGATACGATAAATATCCGTAATGATTTCATCGCCGCAATGGGCGACGTTAGAACTAAGATGTGCTGTAGGAGGAACAGTAGCAGAGCAACGAACTCTAAGCGTCTGGATGCAACTATTCGACCTTTACGGATGTCCGTGTTGCATAGGCATAGAAATGAAGGCGTTTTCACTCTGCAGGCACTGACCACTCCACTTAACCCGCCGCGCGGTGCGGCAGCAGGTAGTACTACGAAAATACGAAATGACAAAGCGCCTTTAATTATTCGTTTTTATACTACAAAGACATCCACTACGCATGAATAGTTGCACAAATGCGTATAGGATGTGAGCACTTTTTGTGTTTCAGTTTTGATACAGCGACTTGCAGATTTGTTATAGCATACATTCATCGTTTCTAGGTAAGTGGAAGAATAACTCTGCCGTGATAGCGAAGAGAGCCGTAAGTGCAAAAATGAAGTTTTGAGATAACGGGCTCAGAAGCTTCTGACAAGAACAATTTATTGAAAGAAGCCTCCGTTCTTTGTCAAATTGCCACTAATCGTCCGGAAGACTCCTAGAAATCGTATGGATGATTCAAAATCGACTGATTTTATTTCCATTACATAAAAAGGGTATTTTTCATTTTCATGCTAGGTTATTGTTAGGCAAGACAGCCGTAAGTGCTATCATCTGCATGCTTTCGTGGTTGCGTTTTGGACGCACAACAAACATATTTTCAGGTTAAAAATTGGCAGAAGAGGGCGGCACTTTACTGGAAAGCACTGTTCTTGTTGGCTCTCATGCATCTACGGCTGTCTTGAAAAAAAACTGTGTCATTTTTTGTGCACTTACGGCTTTTACATACGTCTCGTTTTCATTAAATTAGGATGCATTTTGCTGTTTTAGCTGTCTCAGTAATTTCATCTAAAAAAGTTTAGACGAATTTTGAAGGAAACTCGATTTCGAAAATTTTGCATTTACGGCTCTTTTCGCCATCACGGCAGAACTATGCAAAACTAGTAACAAAAGCAAACCAAAAGCTGAGTCTGCCTCATTGTCAGAGCTCTCATTTATTTTCTCATTTATTTGACTCAGTTACTTGACTAGTACTTAGTAAACACTGATTTCAAGGAACTAGCTTGGATTACATTCATGGAGTAATTTTTTTTTAAAAAAAAAAAAAAAAAAAATTGTTACACATTTTATTACATACCTTAAATATAGCCATATCTGACTCAAACGAGCGGGACCCGTTTGACATTTTTTTGAGTAGGCCTGTCATTTTTTCTCTGAGTTGGGTTTTCTCTTCTTCTAAGTCACCGAATGCTCTGCCTAGTAAAATTCAAACGGATAATTAATTAAAGCCAAACCCCCTCGGTATTCAACATTGACTTCATGAACGTGAATGAATATTTTTTTATCTTCCTGCCATGATATATATCCATTTTATTCTTAATGGAAAGGATACGTGAATTTCACTTATTCTGCGCAACCTCTCTGTTCAAATTGGCACAGAGAAAGTTGAGTTGTTCATTTTGGAACTCGAATTTTGTCGGGAGCATGACTGAAGTCAAATAACTGTGTCAGCTTTGAATCAAAACTTGACATTGGAGATTACAAAAGCAACTGGATCGTAGTGATTAGATAATCACTTTCTGGTCTTTTTCAAACCAACTTTTTCGTCTTGCTAAGAAGTAACTTTACATCACCAACCAGCCGGTCCCTCCTCAAGTTATTATTTTTCAGCGACTGGTAAAAATTAAAAATGCTCCTTTGGACGATGTAATTTTGCGAGGACACGACAAACCAAATGGGACCTTACATTATCATGACACCGCACAGTGGATCGAGTCGATCAGAGAGGTCGGACCTAAAATTTTGGAGTAAAACTTTTTATGTTTATTTCGTTACATTTTAAAGTATAAAGGTCGTTCCTACAAGGACATTTAACGAGGGAACCAATGGAACCACTTTTAGAACCTCAAAATTGTTTATGTACGGAGTTAAAAGCTTTTAAAGTTTACGAATTTTTCCGACCTCTCCCACTGACTCGATCCACTGTGCGCCGTGCCTTATTTCATGAGCCCTCCATTTACGAAAGTAGAATTTCAGGAAGATACTGCCACTGGCGAAGCCTTAATACGAGATTTTTCTGCTATATTTGAGAAAGAAATGAAAACTCTTACGAGGAGCATGATCGGCACCTTTGAACCGATGAATCAATTAATCAAAATTAAACTAATTTGTACTAAATGATTTATCCATGTAATTACATACACGGGACGGGAGATGCAACCGGATTGCTACAGCCCGCCTCGATGGCAGCCGCGACAGTGACAGTATTAAGTCGCCTATAAAAGCGCCTTCAATCGCCTTCAACGCAACACATCGGACCGTTTGCACAGTTCAACTAGACACAGCCTCGCAACAGTTCAATGAAATGCTGTCATAATGCTATTCATGTTGTCTAATTTTCCCGCATTTTATGATTTTTTAACGGAAAATGAAGCAAGTTAACCAGATTTTTGAAAGAATTTGAATTTCTCGGGATTTCATCCTTTAAAATGGACGGAAAGTTCTCATGAAGGCATTATTTTGCTCAGTTTTCGGTTAGAAAAAGATTATAAAGTGAAAGGAAACCAGGCAACGTAAAATACAATTGAGCTGCGACTCCTCGGTGTCAAAATTGTTTTTGATAGTTTAAAGACGTTAACAATACATAATTTTAAAAGTTACGTGAACCAAAAAGTAAAAAGGTGCATTTGGAATCCAATTTTTTTTTGAGCAATAAAAGTTGTGGCCAGTAAAAAGAGACGCATCAGCATACAGACCTGAGTAAAGCATTGCGCACAGGAGAGAAAACACGAGGTGGTTGAGATCCATGGGGTTTAAGGACGAAGTTCCAGGCTTGTGATAGTTGTAAGGAGGCCACCAAATTCTGCAAATGCCAAAGTTTACAATCACAATCCATGATTTTGCACGTTTTTATTTTTTATTTCATTTTTTTTTTTTTTTTTTTTTTAAAAAAAAAAATACTTCTCACGTGACAAAACACTATGCGAATTTATGAGAGATGCTTTAAAAACAACTCAAACATTCCATTTTTTCTTCATCAATTTTTGTGAGAAATTGCTTTTTAGTCACAAATTTCTATCTTGGAGAGTCAAATCGGGGTAACTTTTAATTACTGAAATTTATGTGTTCATTAACTGCTGAAATGTGCGGAAAGAATTTAAAATGAAGTACTCACTCAGAAATTGATGGACATCTTCGCAACTTTCATACTATGAGCAGAGGGCGTCTTATATTTTTCACTCGTATTTTTTGAGTTGTCCGATATTTTTTTTGTATCTCAGTTAGTCAAAGCATAATCAAATTTGTTAATTGATGCAGTTCTTGCTAAAAAGTCCGCAGCTTCATTATATTTATTGCCATCGTGAGCTTTGACCCACTGCCAATTGATTTTATGCCCTGAAGAAAGTTCACTCAACGTTTTCCAAAGGTCTACATTCTTAACTGGTTTGTTATCACTCGTTTGCCAACCGTTCACTCTCCAATTATGTATCCATTCGGTTATGCCATTTTTAACGTAAATGCTGTCCGTATACAAATCCACAAGGCGAAAAGTTTTAAGTGTTTGCAACCCGTTTATGACAGCCATAAGTTCCATCCTGTTATTTGTGGTGGATTCTTCTCTGCCACAAATATCAGTTCTTGAACCACGAGACAAAATCACAGCTGCCCAACCTCCAGGGCCAGGATTACCAGAACAAGCACCATCTGTATACATGGTAACTTGTGTCTCATTCATTTTAATTGGTTCGTTTTCATCTATGTATTGCAATGCATTACCATCTCCGACAATGATTGCTGACGCATTTTTGTCAAGCAATGCACCCTCATCTCTGTTTTTCAATGCATTTCTTGCCAATGAGTCGGCGATTTCATTAAACTCATTGCCCTCGTGGCCTTTAACCCAGTGCCAATTGATTTTATGCAGCGAAGAAATGTCATTCAACGTTTTCCAAAGCTCCATATTCTTAACTGGTTTGTTACCCCCCGTTTTCCAACCGTTTATCTTCCACTTATTAATCCAGTCTGTTATGCCGTTCTTAACGTAAATGCTGTCTGTGTATAAATCTACACTGCAAGAAGTTTTTAGTGTTTTCAACCCTTCAATCACTGCTGTTAGCTCCATTTTGTTGTTTGTTGCACGTGCCTCTCTTCCGCAGATGTCTTTTCTTTGACCACGAATCAATATTATGGCTGCCCAACCTCCAGGGCCAGGATTACCAGAACATGCACCGTCTGTATATATTGTCACTTTTGTCTTATTCATCTCTACCACGTTGGAGAGTACAAGCAACTTTAAAAAAATTACCAAACTAAATCTAAAAAATAAACAAGATAAGCTAATAAAGTTTAAAAGAACTGGCTCATTTACCGGAACCATTACTTCATTCCTCGGTTTGTGGATCAGCTGATTCAACTTAGGCCTGCCATTGCACTTCACTTTTGTCAATCACTTGCAACTAAAAGGCTCTTTTAATATCGTTAAAATATAATCTATTTCAAGAGGGCAACTGTTGATCAATTCTTTAGCAAGTGGCGTACCGTGAGATGTGTTTTGAACAATCTAGAGACACGTGTTTTGATTTCAGTGCATGCATCGAATCCTTGATCTAATCTTTCCAGTTATGAAATATCTAGAAAGCAACATATGTGGTCATTTTTAGCAACACTGTAATAATTGATGAAAAATTAAACGAATGGTCCATATTGCTCCATCGATGGCAGCAAGAGGAGCCTATGATATGGTTAAACATAGCGACATAAAAAACAAATACAAAAAAAAAAAACCCAAACAATTAATAGATCCACAGCACTATGATCAATCAATTAATTTTCCAGATGATATTCGTGATAAGCTCTGTGTTGCCGTATTTAATCTATTTTAACTATTTTTCTTGACAATTCACCAAAACTCAAATGAAGCAACGGAGGAAATAATGAAATTCTCAATACTTGAATGGTCTGAAAAATCATTTTTTTATTTGAAAAATTGGCTCTTTTGCACTGCACGGAAATGCTTGGTTATCTGGCGAGTTAAGAGAGCATCACCATAACTTACTTCTTAAAACTCCCTCGGACATTCATTAAGTTTCTACATGAGGAGAGTTATGTCATGGCACGGCCTGGTGTCACATCCTGACGAATCACAAAGTCTGTAACGTTTTTTGTAATCTTTGATCAATACATTCCTGAAACATTTCCTCCTTTCCATCTCTCATTCTGTTCTTAGTGTGTCCTCAGTTTCCTGATCCCTCCGAGTTCATAATCTTAGCAAACGGTGAAAATGTAATCTTTCCGAACGTGTGTGATTTAATCTGAGCCAATCAGAGACGGAGAAACCGGAGACAATTGGAATACGATTCAAGCATTTGATGGAGCTCTTCTGGCATGGTTCCTTCAATTGGGCACCAATGAGATGAAGAAGGAGACCATCACATTTTAAGAGACGCGCTCTACAGAAAAATTATTTTCCATACATCCAACTCAACCCGAGACTCTCAATGATAAACATTAAAATTACTGTTCTAAATTTGTATTTTAACACTTAAGTGTGGCTGCGGTGAACAATCTTAATTCGACAGGATGATTTCGATGAAGGCGATATCTCTTTTGGTACTCCCTTTGTACACATTCAATGGAGGTACGAATTGTTTAGTATTATAGTTAAATCATTCTTGAACAACATGAACCCAATGGCTTGAACAGAGAGCACGATTCAAAGGTGTTTTTTTTTTTTTTTTTATTTTAAAATCGGAGCAAATATTTGACATTTCGCATCCTATATTGATTTTGAATTCATTTTTTTTGTTTCAACATGCAGCTGAATCAATAACAGAGAACAGAAAAAAAGTGCACAAGCAGGCGACATCACTCGCAGAACAGAATACCAAAGAGGAAAACAACGAAGCGATTAGATCAGCCTGGTTTACAGTAAGTAATTTACTTTAAATTACAAAATGAAAATGAATATATTAAAATGATATACATGGATATCACAACTGTCTCATCACTCTATAAAAATAATTTTTTTTCCATTAAAAATTCAAGTCTTCAGCCATGAGGATTGAGGATCGTCCTGAAAGTAAGTTTACAAAATCACAGACATTACTAGTACTTTTATACATTACTAGCACTAGTAGTTACCGGTGATTCTAAACTAATGCAGCTAAAGTACACCGGAGAATGGAATCCTTGAGCACTTCTTTCGGCTCCTCAACGAGCCATATATTAATCAATCCCGCTCCTGCAAAGCCCAAAAAACCCTCTGAAAATTGATTTCTTGAAACCATCTCCACTCCGCATACGGGTTCACGTTTCACGTTGTATCACCAGTGTAATAGCTACTGCATCAGTGGCGGGGCGTGAATGATCAATTATCGATATTTTCCCATTTGAAGCTATGGTAAAGAATCGATTTAAGTGGAGTTCGTTGCGAGCACCCTGTATATCGATCCTTTCCCATAGATTTAATTGGCAGATTAATTGATACATCGCAAAGTACGCCACGCCACCGTACTGCATCTATCGTTTTGCACAAGCAGGTGACCTAATAGTAGTTGAGCCTGAGCATCGCATACAAAATATCTGCGGACATTTTTCTGTAATTAAAATGCAATGGTTTGCTATATTGATGGATTGCCGATTATTTCTTTGGGCATTTCAATGAATTGTGCTCGGCTGAGCTCTCACGCTTGATCGTGAGAAACCGACACAAAATCGCATTATTTGCGTGTCTTCACCGAGAAAGGGGGTATTTTCATATGAGGGTTTGTCCATTTTCAATATTTCTCCAACGTAACGCAGAAACAAGTAATATAAGCATACCCATTTTCATTTCATTTCATTTTTAAATTTTGTTTTATCACAGTTATTCAAAAACCCAAGGTACAAAAATGCAGAAAGGGTTGAAACTTATGTGAGCAGAACAGGGCAGGAAAATGCGGACGACATTGAAAAGAAAATGATAGAGGAGAACGAAAAAGTGATTATTCCGAGGTAAGCCGTAAAATTGAATGTTTTAAAAAAAATCCAGTCAACAAATTCATGTAAGAGTTCAATTATGAGAGGAACGATTATTTTTTCTTTAATATTTTAAAAGGGTGTTTGAAGAAGTATCGTTAATAGTACCTTCACTGTTTTTCAGAGGGTGTGACTCGGGATTTATGTTTGAAAATTTGCCAAAGTTAAAATTTAAAGAGGCAAGACAAAATTTTATCGGATCCTATTTTGTCTTTCAATTTGCCTTTCAACTTATCAAGTAGATATAAATAGGTCATATGATTTACTCGATTGTTTCATTTTGTACTGTGATGAGAATTTAAAGCTCTTGAATAAGATGCGTTTGGTAACGTCGTTTTCTCTGCACACAGAAGCTGCGTCACTCAACGGTGACCATTTTCAGTTTTTTTTTTTTTTTTTTTTTTTTTTTTTTTTTTACTTTTTTTGGGGGGTTCTATTCCTGTTTATTTAGTCACTTAGGAATCTACAGCCATCTACAGACATGAGTTTTAACATAAGGATTATTTAATTTGTCAGTAGATAATAGGGGGATTTCGGCACATCCATGCTTCGGCTGTCAGATTTTCAGGGATTAAAGTGGAGTAAAATCTGTTTCTGCAGATCCATTCGTCAGTTCCGTGAAAATTTGTCGCCACCATCGGGATTCGAACTCAGGACCTAATTGTCTAGAGTCAGACGCGCTGACCGCTAGGCCAACCTGACCGCGACATTTTGAGTTATTTTGTGAAGATTTAAAAACAGGATGACTCATCTATATCCAAATCTGTCTTTGAGTTACCATACTTTCTGAAACGGCGGAATACTATGGATTTCACAGATTTTTTACGCAAATTGAACTAAAACTATTAAATTTCAAACTTGACGAATGCACTCATCGTAATTTTTGAACCATTATCTAGTAATAACTATATTTATTTCCGCCGATCTCGCTGTAGTTTACAAGAGATCCGCGATATGAACTATATAGTACGGAAAAAAGGACCGAACTACGTTTTGGGAAAAAATTCAGGAATGAGCTTAAAAGCACTTAAGGCGCGCGAGCTCTCCGTGCTTTGCGACCGAAAGTTTAAACCTATGGAAATCTATCGATTTTTGGAGGGGCCAGGTGCATGCTCCGACAAGAATCGATTATTTAACATAGGTTTAAGTGGAGGGAATCCGGTGCTACCAAATTGCTGGATCCGCCTCTGTGCGAGAGAAGTCTATCAATGAAGGACTTTCATTGTAAACGGATTTTTTTTCAAGTAGAAAGGTCCTCGTTCGATATTGATTGAATTAAGAAATGAGTTGTTTTTTTTCTTCGTTGTGAGAGGCTGGTAAGTTGGTTTGGCATTAAGAAGTTCAAAGAATCCTCTTGGAACATGACATTGACGCCTATGCAAAACTAGGAGGCTATGCCCCCTGGCCGCTACGCGGCCCAAACCCCAGAGGGCACTCCGCCCACTCTTAGGCCCGCTTCGACAAAAAGACGACCAAAAAACATAATATGAAAAGATTTCCATACTCGACTCTCATTTGTCCAATCTTCCTCTGGCCGGGAGCGATTGGACCAATACAAATCAAATAAGAAACCCGTCATTTATTTCAAACTTCAGGCCAATACTGAAACGAAACGAACGAACAGAACAGAGCGTTTCGTTACTTTTGGATAGCCTGTAGTAAAGGAGCATACCTTCAATTCACGTACCTTACCCTACCAACAGACCAAGATTCACAATTTCCCGCTTAGTTCAATTTTGCCCCTTTTCTAAACTCCCAGGTGTATACTCTATTATGAAAAAAATCTGGGTCATATTTCCAGAATCTGATTACAGCAAGCTCGTTTAGGGACTATCACCTGTCGATAACCGCAAAAATTATGAAAATCGGTCCAGTAGAACGCTCAAACGAACTATGGCAAAAAATAAAAATTTACAATGTTTAAATGGGAGAATTTGCAACTTTACCGCGTAATATAAAGAAAAACTTGGATCATATTTTCAAAATTTGAATTAAGCGGGCTCATCTAGAGACAATTGGACGTATTTCTATCAAACGGACCTAAGTGCCATAGGGTGAGGAAGGTAGAGGGGGGCTTGGATTGGCGGCGGAATCGGGCGTCCGGCTTATTCCGTCCTATTCTCGCAATGCTTTTTCATGGCGCTTAGGTCCGTTTGACAGAACGCGCTATCTGGGATTCTAAATTCCTCAAAAGGAACTCAAATTGGCGCTTAGTTCCGTTTGATGGAAATATGTCCACTTGCCTGTCGATAGCCGCAAAAATCAAGAGAATCGGCCCGGTAGAACGCTGGAACTAAACGTTACCAGATATGCACATTTTGGAGGCTTCGAAGTTTGTATATATGATGATATATTTGTGATTAATTGCAGGCAAATACTCGTTGAAACATCCGGATTGAAGAAACTACATTTGGATACGCGTGGATTTAGGGCGCCAGATTTACATGACCGAAGACAAAAGACCTTGTTACAAGGTGAGAAACAAAATAAACAAGTTAACACTATAAAAGTAAGCTCAAGCTATGATATTTTAAAGAAGATAATTAAGCATGTGGAAATAATGATATTTGGGGAAAACTGTCTTTTTTCATTTTTCTGTTTTCAGAGGATAAATATGATTATGACGCGCCCGACACCAGACGCTACCCCGATGATAGAGGCATGACTTTCTACTCCGGTCGCACGACATCCAAATATTTTCCCGATTTCTACGTGGATCGTTATTGAAATGTTTGAAGAATCCATTCAAGTAAAAACCCATGCAGTTTCAAGAACTGTAGAAAAATAAATAGAGTGTTGAATTTACAAATAGAAGCCGTAGTTTATAAAATTGATTTGACTCTAAAACTCAAAAGAAGAAACCAAAATGTAACATAAATGTACTTAATTAATTAATTGGAATAATAATAAAAAAAACCTGGTTATTTATGTTCTTTCACCGAGAGTACACTACCTGTTATTCCATGGATTTTCTACCTGCGCGAGCTTTGCTACGGAATTTTCTTTTATGTCTTAATGGGGGGTATACAAGGTTTAATTTTAGTATAGTTATGTGAAGGCATTGCCCTCATGTTATCTTATGTCTGCCCAACACACCACATCTTTCTCCCCATTCCTAAAGTTTATAGTCACGATTAATGCTGATAGTATTATCAGTTCTGTGCAACATGAATTGTTTCAAAGTTACAAGTTCAATCTCTTGTCCTTGTCAGCCCTCAGAGCTTCAGCTTCCCCTAGTTTTTAAGTGATTTCCGGTCACGATCTCTCAGAGCTCATGTGCATTTGACTGACCAACTGTCTCTTTGATCCAACTGATCGCGCCGAACACGGTGCTTGTTGCGGTTGACGCGCGGCGCGGCGTGAATAACGCATATTGGCGCCTGCAAGACTACAGAAATACTTCACGCATTGCGCGTTCATCATTGAAATTTCGTTATTTCTCATTAGTCCAGGCAAATAGGCCAAAAAAGGGACCATAGCCTGCAAAAATCCCGGGTAGCAATGTTTTCATTGATTCCTACGTAATTTTTGACGCTAAATCCGAATTTCAACTTTCCACCAAAAAGTTGCCAAATTTGGCAAAAATGGCCTGAAATCGGCCTTTTCTCCTGGTTATGGTCTGTAACTTGCCAAAAATTGATCTGACTATAAAATTAGTTGTTTTAAGGAATAAAGCTCGTTAAATTTCCTATAGAAAGTTCCTATACACTTTTTTGCTCAAGGCAAAATCAAGCGCGCTAGCGGACTCCGAACTTTGTAAAATGTGCGAAAATTTCGCATACTGTAATGTGTTGAGTTCGTTATTACTTACATCAATTAATTTCACCGAGTGTAAATTTTATCACCTTCACTTAATTTGTCCAGAAATCACTCGGCAGACGATTAAAACAGGAGACATCGGTTAAACACCGCGGAAACATAATTTTCGCTCATTCTTCAAAGTTTGGAGCCCGCCAGCGCGCTTGACTTTGCCTTGAGCAAAAAAACGCATCGGAACTTATTTTTAGGAAATTTAACGAGTTTTACTTCTGAAAATAACTAATTTTATCGTCAGATCAATTTAGGCCGATTTTAGGCCATGTTTGCCAAATTTGGCAACTTTCCGTTCCGAATTTTTTGGTGCAAAGTTGTAATTCGAATTCAGCGTCAAAAATTACGTTGGGATCAATGTAAACATTGCTACCCGGGATTTTTGCAGGCTCTTTTCCTTATTTGCCTGGACAATATGCCGGACCCAACATGGACCACAGAGCTACCGTCTGAAGTAAAAACGCCGATCTTTATTCAACATTTTTTCAATTTTTTTCGGACAAAATGCTGTTTTACAGAAAACCTAACCAATATTCATCATTTACTTTTTCAATACAACTTCGCCACACCATCAGGAAATAAAGATGAAGAAATGAAGTCCTGTGGCAATTGAATTTTCTTGTAATGGAGCAGTACGTGCTGGAAAACAGGAACTAATTTTAAGTGGAGTTACGGCTTCTTTGCTGTGGACGACAGAGTGTGTACACCATTTCCTATTAGTGCAGTTGCATTCCTAGGATCGAGGGATTGGATCGTAGAGATTTTGCAGGTTTTTGCAAGAGGCATTTCTCTCGTAAATGCACGCTTTCAGCGTTAAATCGAGTTTTTTGTACGAAATCGAGGTCTAAACCTAAATATTATAATTGCATCACGAAATTGACCTTTGGCACCATTTAAAATGGTTGAAATCGACCCAAATTTTGGCAAACATGCTTTTTTACCAAACGTCATCAATTGCCGCCTGGGGAGCGAAACATTTCGGAATTTCATTTTTTTTTTGACTCACCCTGAGGGACCTCTTCCTGCAAAAAATCGGTCACAATCCGCCTGCCGGGAGAGCCGCGGCGTGCTGCCAGCGCGAAACGTTTTTTCACAGCTAGACTGGGAAGAAACCTCGACGTCTTCGCTCTGAGGACCAGTGGAATGACGTGCTTTACGCTGTATCGCGTGCAAAGACAAGACCATTCATTGATTCTGTTCAAAATAGTTCATCGGGATCGAAGCGTATTTCCGACCACGGCCGTAAAGCCGACCAGCGCTATCATTTGAAGCTCCTTCATTTCGTTGAGTATGCAATTTGATCTCCGGGGAGTTTAAATAGTTGCTCCAAGTTCAATAGAACGTCCGCGCCCACCGACCAAATTGGACATGTTTCTGCCAAACGGAACTAAGTGCATTATGACGTGAACCCTGTTATGCATATATTCTTATGGGTCTCACGGCTCATGTCTTAACGCACATAATTATGTTTGGCAGAAATACATTTAATTGTAGGGCACTGCAAAGCATCTGTCTGACTTGAAATTGCCGACCGCAGCGCGCATACACTGAATAAAAAATCTCGGTGTATTTACTAAGAAAAGGGTAAAATTACTAAGAATTCATTGTTCTATTTGATCCCAGTTTTTTCTTGGTAAAATTACCATTTATGGAATTGGTAATTTTACCGAGAAATCTCGGTAAAATTATTAACTTTCTCGTTAATTTTACTGGACCTTCGTAAAAACGCCAATAATTTTTATTGACTGTGGTAGAATCGCCGAGATAAAATGGCAAAGTTACCGGGAATTGATTACCAATAAAAGTGGTATTCTTACCTGAGAAAAAAAAACAGTAAAAATACATGTTTGTAGGTAAGCTTACAAGCCTGTCTTGGTAAAATTACCAATAATTGGTAAAAAAGTGAGATGGTAAAGGTACCAACGGACCGTGGTAAAAACGAGAATTTTTTTTCAGTGCAGCGCGTATGGCACACGACCCGCCTTTCATTATTACACTTCATCGAGCGTTGAGAGTTCACGAATCACATCACACGACCAGTGTGTAATTTTAAAAGTCAAAAATTAAAAACATAAAAATTTACAGGATACACGAGTTTCTCCGCCAGGGACCACCGGGCCTTGCGCCGCAGGTCCCGACCCTAAACCCGTTTTTTTCCGTGCATTTAAAACATGTTAGCCGAATTTTGAATGAAATTCTTTTCCGAAAGTTGGCTGGTACTCCATCTCTCGGTAACGGTAACACAGCGGGAGGATAGATGCTGCTGAATTTACTGCTGTTATGCCGAGAATGACGTCAGTTTTTGCGTAGTCACGGCACACAGTGGATCGAGTCAATAGGAGACGTCGGACATTATTTAACAACTTTAAATTTGTATATCTTCAATAATATGAAACGTTGATATTTCAAAAGTAGTTTCATTGGTTTTTTCGTAAAATTTTCTATAAAAAGCATCCTTTAAAATTATAAATGTGACGAGAGAAACGTAAAATTTTATAATTTTTGTCAAAAATATCATGGCTGACTTCTTCCAAAGACTCGTTCCACTGTGCGGCACTCAGTCAACTTTAATCTTTTCTTTAGACACGACAAATTTCGCTCTTTCAAGGCAGCCATTTTGGTGCATTTAATAGGTTTAGACTAGAAAAAACTTCACTTATTTCCTCTTTGAAAGATCGCGTAAAAACGATACGCAAAGCGGGAAGTTTGAAATTCAAATCCGGAGCGAAATATTAATAAGTATCAATTGGTGCGAAAAAGATTACCTAAAGGGAGGAAATATTTTTGAAACTAGATCCATCCGCAAAATAAAACACTAAAAAATAAACAAAATAAAAATAAAGCATACTCTACGCAGAAAGTCATGAGGGCAACGCGTATAACGCATATAACGCATAACGCCTGAAGCGCAAAGCACTTCGGGGGGGGGGGGNGGGGGGGGGGGGGGGGGGTTAGATCGCGAAGCGTTCTTAGTACCCCCTAGTCTGCCGTGCTAAGAAAGAACGCCGTATGAACATTGGAGGGTTGCCAAATTTACTTCAATAAAATGTTCATTTTTGAGGGAAATTATGAATATTGTTCCTTGATATTTTCAGGAACTTCAGTTTAAATTGTGAACAAAATTATCTGAAAAATTAGGAGGAAAATATTCTTGAGTTTACCAGAAAATGTGCGTTTTATGAAAGGAAATTTGGCAACGCCTGAAGGCTCATACAGCGTTTTTCCTCAGCACGGCAGTGGTGATGAACACTGGAAATAAAAAGTCTCCTAGATCCGAAGTTTTGACTCTTAAAAATTTGACGAGAAAATATACTTGTTTAATCGGATTTGTGCTTGAATAGAGAGTCAAGCCACTTTATAATCCGAGCGGACATCCTTATGATTCAAGCAAAAATCCGATTGAATCACCTCAAAATCAAGAATATTTTTTCTTGTCAATTTTTTTAAGAGTCTGGACTCTGGATCCAAGAGCCTTTTTTCTGGCGAATGAAATACTCAACAAAAGGGGAAAAATTGGAATGATTCAAGAATACAATCTTTTATGGGAGTTAAATTCAATTCATCTATTTTTTTCAGCTGGTTTAATGGCTTTGTGTCTAGCACCTTCAGCCAACTTCAGACAATGTTTATTGTCCGTAGACATCGTGGGATCTCCATGCTTTAGGCTTTTCCAATTTTCAGAGATTAGGGCCGAGAAGAATCTGTTTCAGCAGATCTACTCATCAATTCCGTGAAAATTAGACGCCACCACCGGGATTCGAACCTGGGACCTATTGACCTAGAGTCAGACGCGCTGACCACTAGGCCAACCTGACCGGCCGATTCATCTCCTGGATTAACTCAATGCTCAAAATCTGACATTTCCGTGTCCAAGTGGAGTCGGAGGAGGGGGGGGGGAGACTGAAGGCAAAATACGTGGTCGAAGCATTTTTCAATCATAAAACTCTAAGAAAAATGTAGGAGGATAATGCAGCAAATAAAACAATTCTAAACAAATTAAAATGAAATGTAACCAAACCATATGGAAAGACACAGAGAAGAAATAATCTTCTTTAAAATGAGAGGGAAAAAAAATTACGTGTGGCGTTATGTAACGTGCCCTGAACCCTCTCCCTCCAAACGCACCTG